CAAGAAACAGCACAGAGGGACCATAGCTTGAATGTTGCTGGAGCACCTTCTGAGCTGAGGCAGGAAGTGGTGAGTGATTAGGCCAGAGGGTGGGCAGGGAGCAGAAGGGGTGAGGGGGGACACAGCTTAGACTTCATTGAAGGCGGTGGAGCGTGCAGAAGCGTTTAAAGCAGGGGATGACATCACCAGAGATTATTTTAGCGGTGGTGGAGAGGGCAAATTTGAGGGAGGCAAAATTTGGAAGAAGCAAAATTTCTTAGGAGGCATCTGCACAAATGAGTAGTAGATTTGTTTATATTTAATCACAGCTAACATTTATTTAGCATTAATTAAATAAAAGTTACTAAGTAAGCATTATAATGCAATATTATCTTACTATTTCAAACTACCCTGTAAGTAAATACTATTGTTATCCTCATTAACACAACAGACAAACATTTAAATAAATGTCCAAGGCTAGGATGCAATGTGGACAGTCTGGTACAAAAGCTTATGCCCTTAAATCACTATCCCACTTGTTTAATTTCTGTCTCTTGCATAAGAATAAAAGTTCCATGCAGATGGGGACCATACTGGTAGTGTTTTCCACTCTGCCTAACCTAAGTGAAAGAAATAATGGACTGAATTGAGTATAGATACAACAAATATTTTGGATGCAGTATTAGCCATGTTATTTGCACACTTTGGTGATTGTTATGGACTAAATGTCTGTAAGTCACATGTTGCCCTTCCTCAAATTTGTATGTTCAAGTCCTAAGCCCCACTGCAACCTCTAAGGTTAAATGAGACCCTAAGTGTGGGGCCCTAATCAAACAGTTAGATGTCCTTATAAGAGGAGGAGGAGAAACCAGAGTGTCTGTCTGTCTGTCTCTTTCCTTTTCCCTCCCTCCCCCTCTCTCCCCACCTATCTCTCTCCCCACCTCTTCCTCTCTCCATGCACACACCCAGGAAAAGTCATGTGAGGACTAGTGAGAAGGTGGCCTTCTGCAAGCCAGGAGAAGGCTTATACCAGAAAGCAAATCAGCTGGAACCTTGATCTTGGACTTCTAGCCTACAGAATTGTGAAAAAATAAATTTCTGTTGTTAAGCCCCCAGTGTATGGCGATTTGTTATGGCAGCTAGAGCAGACTAAGATGAAGGTGGTGGTGAAGGAAGGGTTTTTAGCCTGGAAGACTAGAGGGGCAGCGGGGCCAGTAATTGGGGTAAAGCACCCAGCAAGAAGAGGAGAGATTGGATATGGTAAATGGAATAAACAACATTTATTTTTCTGAACTCAGGGTTTACCTCACTCAACAGAGAAATATGGAAGTTAACTATTTAAAATCAGTTATTCAATAAAGGTCTATTCATCCCCTAGCCAAGGTGGTCACTGTGCTTATCCTGAGAATACGAAGTACATAAGATTCATTCTCTGCTGTCAAGAAGTTCATAGTCCATTGGGGAGAAATATTGTTTCCTTTTGTAAAGCTACATGCCAGCTAGAAAGACAGGTTTCCTTTGACAGGTTTCCTTTTCTCCTAAAGGCCTGGGGATTATCACAAGTACAGAAGTAAAATCCCATATGGACAAGAGCTTTGGAGTCACACAAACTGTATTTGAATATGGGCCTTGGAATATACTAGCTGAGTGATGATCATAGGCAGTTTTAGGGTTCTCACTTGGAACCACAGAGCTAAGATCAGAGAACAAAGGTAGGTAGAAATGTTTTGTAAAGTGCAATATGCATGTTAGCAATTATTATCATTATAAAACCGACATTTCTGACCTGCAGAACCTAGAGGTGAATCAGCCATGGGCAGCAGCAAGTCAGAGGTGAAAAGACCACCCTGTAGGTGGCAGGGGTTCTGAGATGGGAGGGGGAGTAAGACTAGGGTAGTGTGACACAGAATAGACTTTGGGGTTTTATGGACCTACTTCAAATTACAATTAGGTCAGTTATTAGCTATGCAAAAATGAGGAAGTCATGAAATTGATCTGCGCTTTAGTTTCTTCATCCGTGAAACGGAGTTAATAATATCTACCCTGGAGGGTTGTTCTGAGTATGTAAAGGGCTTGGCGGAGTGGTCCCTCAATTAATGGTAACTGTTGCTCCTATTAAAATATTATCATTTGCCTCTCCTACCTCCTAAGGGGTTTGTGTAGGTAGTGAACTAACTAGAGATGCCAAGAAGTGAGGGAAATGGAAGGGCTTTTATGACTTACTTAAAAGGTTATTTTAAAGGTGAAAAAAAAAAGTAGTCCAACTCAGCTTTTCTCTCCTAACTATGGTGCAAACATAACGGCCAGAAATGACCATGGTATTATACAGCTTAGAGTCACAGGACACCAACTGTGATAATTATTCCTTGTATTTATTCTATCCTAAGTAAATCTACCAACCACTGTGAGTAAGGGTTCTCCAAAGGCAATGCTTCTCAGACGGTAATGCACACGTGAGTCACTTGGGGGCTTGGTAACATGCAGACTTTTATTCCGTGGATTTAGAGTGGGGCATGAAATTCTGCCCTTCTTAAAGCTCCCAGGTGAGGCCCATGCTGCTGGTTGATGAACCACACTCTGAGGGAGAAGCAAGGCTCCGAAGGGACGTGGAAGTATCTTCCTTGGTGTGGTGTTCACCGTAATGGCCTGCTTCTCTTTCACGATCTACTTAACTGCAAACTAATTACTAGAGCCCTAACAAGCCTTTTTTCAGACCAGATTTAGAAATTCTGCAGCGGGACTCATTTCAGATCACTATCAACATTTTTGAGTAGCTTGCTCTGTGCAAGGCACTATACAAGGCACTGGGGATACACAGGTTTGTAAGACAGAATTCCTGCTTCCGAAGACTGACTCTTTCTAACACTGTAGGACCTTGTAGACTGTTAAGTTGCTGAGGACAGTCTTACTGTCTCCCCTGTTGCCTCACACTATGTAGATGCTCAATAAATACTAAATGAATGAGTCAATGACTTCATAGAAGTTTCATCAAAAATGTCTTCTCACAGGACTATCTTAAATGTCTTAAATATCACATATAAGAGGTGGTTAAATTAAAATGAGGCTGATAAGATGGGTCCTAATCCAATGTGCCTCACGTCCTTATGAAAAGATGAGACTGGAACATATGGAGAGAGACTCCGGGGATAAGAACACAGCGAGAAGGCGACCATCTGCAAGCCAAGCAGAGAGGCCTCAGAGGGAACCCCCCAATCCTGCTGACACCTTGATCATAAGACTGCCAGCTCCCAGAACAGTGAGAAAATAAATTTCTGTTGTTTAAGCCACCCAGTGTGTGTTATTTTGTTACAGCACTCTTAACAAACTATACAGATTTTCACAGCTTTCATGCCCAGATTCAAGAATCTCTTCTGTGAGGTACACAAAATGGAAGAATAATTGAAGAGTGGATAGATGAACCTCAGAATGTGGTGGGAATGAGTTATAGCGGGGAGACAGACAGAAGGTGAGACAGCTGTCAAAGTGAGCTAAAATAGCTGCAATCTATATACATTTCCTCCCCTTCTCATAATACCAACACAGTCTAGGGCTATTCTCTCTCCAAATCTGAGACTGAAAGAAGCATTTTGACTTTTTCCCCCCTTGGTAGCAGAAGGAAAACCCCAGATATTTCTCTGCATGCAAAGAACTAAAGGTTACCTATGATGATAAGGCAATGGGATTTAATTTTTGATAAATAAAAGAAAAAAGCACACAGTCAAATGAGATTCCAGAGAAGCTACATTAGACACCCGATTCTAAAGTCAAGGAATTATTATTTTTTGTTTAGCTTCGTTTGTAATAAACAAGCCAACTCATATGTATAGATGGGTGCCTCCTTCAAAACAATCATTCTGGAAGGTCCTTCCCTTTTTCTAACCATGTCACCATTCACAAATCATTTCTGGAATTGCTTTCAGAGTCTGTGAGATAGTCCTCTGAACACTCTCAACGGTGACCCTGGAAGGTGGATTTAATGTTCAAAGACAACCAAGAGTCCTTCTGGGTCAACTCCGGTTAAGCAGGGGGACCAAACTGTGGAATGCCAAGAGGACTGACCAGAGTGCCCAGGCTGATGTTTCTGGAGTGAATTGTACTCAACCCTAGAAGTTAGTTTCCAAAGACAAACCCCAGACACGTAATGAGCATTATAACATGTAATGTTGTAAGCATGACATCAAGGGGGCATAGCGACTGCTCTGGAAAGAATCACACAAGTTTTCTTTTCCGGTGAATATGTAAGTTGTCTAGTGGTTCTCTTTACCAGACCGTTTCCTTAGGCACAGATCTAGCCTACCTCATAGGACTACAGTTCCCAGAAATATCAGGACCTCACTGCCTTAGTCAACTCTTACTCTCCAAATTAGGTATTTGATGTATGGAGTGAAGAGCTGATGAAAAATTAAATAGGCAGAGGAAGAATGTCTAAGGTGTTTGGGGCTTACTCTGTGTCATTCAAAACGCATAACTAGGACCCGGAGAGAAGCCTGGGAGAAATAAATTCCTACTCCATGTGAGAAAGCCATTGTCAGCAGCTGGAGCTGTCCAGCAGTGGAGTGAGCCTGCACTGGAAATAGTGAGCTTCCAGCCCTGGGAGTTTAATAAAACAAAGGCTGCTTGTTATGGAAACCTGTAGAGGTTCTTCCTATAATGGTTGAGGAGCTATATGCCATGACCTCCAAGGACCCTCTCCAAAGTCAAGGACTCTCTCCAAAGTCCATCCTGCACAATACTGGCAATTGGTAGGCTGGGGAAAAAAAACAAAACTGGAATGAAATGAGTAAGAAGTATAGGGCACCTTGTGAGCTAAGTCAAGGGGACGAAGCTTGAAGCTCAGTCAACTGAAATGAACGTAGGGAAAAGTGAAATAAAAAGAGCCAGGGAATCATGAGATAGGGTCTATCTTGAGTTTTTGGTACCAAAGGAGAATTGCTTTGGGTACCTGAAGCCCCACAAGTTTACGAAAGGGTAATACTTTTGCAGGGGGTAGGAGTGGAGGAAGGAGGTAGACCACTGCTCACCCTTCTTAAACTCCTCCAGCACGGTGTCCAGCCGAGTGTCGTTGAAGACGCAGTGCAGGGGCCGGTTGTAGAAGCGGGTGACGGTGAGGAGTGGAGTGCAGTCGTCAGGGTCCACGAAGGCCAAGTCCTTGACAAACAGAATGTCCACAATGTTGTGCCGCTGGTCGCCTTCGTACACGGGGATACGAGTGTAGCCACTGCGCAGGATCTCAGAGACAGTGGCGAAGTCCAGCACGGCATCCGAGCGTAGCATGAAGCAATCTCCGAGGGGGGTTAGCACCTCCTCCACCACTTTGGTGCGAAGCTCCAGGGCGCCCTGGATGATATTGAGCTCCTCCTTCACCAGGTCGTTGTAGGGGTCCGCGGCCCGCAGAGTTTCCAGCAGCTTTTCCCTTGTGTAGAAAGTACTGATCTCCTGGCGCAGGGCCCAGTCTAGCAAGCGGCCCAACGGGTAACATACGGGGAAAGCGGCCGCCATCAGGAGTCGGGTCAGGCACACGCTGTGTGAGGCGATGGCCAGCCCGTGCCGCGAACATACCGAATAGGGGCAGATCTCCGCGCCCAGGAACACGGCACCGGTACACACGAGCGCCGGCAGCCACGGGAAATGAATCCCCGCCTCGCCGTAGTCTTCCCCTTGATCCCCGACGCCCGGCGGCAGCGAGGTATACAACCAGCCGGCCAGGGCCGCGTTGGCTCCGGCTTGGCCCAGGAGCAGCGTGCAGAGCAGATGGGTTCCCCTGCCGCGCACCGCCTGCACGCGGCGTGCCTGCTCCTGCTCGGCGGCCGAACCGCTGTTCCGCAGCACCCGTAACTCCACGGGGTCCAGCGAGAGCAGGCTCAGGCGCAAGCCGCTGAACAGGGCAGACAAGGCGAGCAGCAGGAGTGCCCCGAGCGCCCGCAGCCACGCGGGGGGCAGCAGGCCGGCGCCCAGGCCGTACATCCGCGGGCGGACGCGCAGCAGGAAGCCGCCCGCGGCGCCGTGGTGGTGCCAGGAGCGTCCGTCCCAGGCGCACAGCGAGAAGAGCTTCCCGCCACCACCCGCACCGCCCCGCTCTGCCTCGCCCTTGCGCAGCTCCCGCACCCGCACCTGGACCAGAGCCGAGCCGGCCACGCCTCCGGGGCGCAGGGGCCCCAGGACCTCCACGTCCGACGCCCAGTCGCTCTGCTCGCGGCAACGCTGAGGCCCCGGCGGACGCGTGGGCACAGCGCTGGGCGCCAAGCCGCTCCCGCCCGGGGGCTCCTCGATAAACACAAGCCGCGGAGCCCAGTCTCCGGTGTCATTCTCCCCCGGGGAAAGGGTGGGTGCGGGCACCCGCGCCACGGGCGCCGAGGGCCCGGGTTGGAAATAGACGCGCAGGAGGAAACTGGTGCCTTCTGCCGCGCGTAGGGTGCCCCCCTCCAGGGACACGCGGCCTCCAGCGGTGTCCTCGGGCCTAAGGCCCAGCAGCCAGGCAGCGGCAGCGGGGGGACGAGGGGATAGGGAGAAGAAGAGCAGGAGCACAGCGCCCCGGCTGCAGCAGTCCCGGAGTCTGACACCCACCGCAGCTGCCGCTGCCGCCATCCTGCACCCGGCGCGGCTGCACGTGATACTGCAGAAAGCAGAGCGAGAACTGGAGGGAGGAGGAGCCAGAGCCGGGAACTGGCCCCAGGCAGGTCACCACGTGTACACCCCCTGCGCGCGTGGGCCAGAGGCGGTGGGGGTTTATAGCATGCCTGGGAACGGGGTTCCCCGCAGGGGACTGGAGATGGCCACCCAACAATACACTGTGCATGACTCTTCCGCACTTCGGTTTATCTGAGTTACAGCCTGGAGAAAGCTTGGCTTGGAGCACAGCCCCCTGCTTAAGCCGTAGGGCGCTCCTCATCGAACTCCTACCCGGCAGTAATTCTCCAACAGTCCCTCTTCTTCCCTATTGGCTGGAGAAATTTCCCATCGTTTTGCTTCTCCGGCTGCTAGCGTTCCCCCTTCTGGTCAAAAGGTATTCTGGAGGCAAGTCTTGAATCTGAAAACTTTGTGTTTGGTGTCAACACCAACTGATCTTTCATGTTTAAAATTTTCTAAATTACTTAAATTCAATTCCTTGTTAAGACTTGAATGACCATCAATAAGAAACTGTTGAAATAACTCATGGTACCTCTGTGTGATGGAATACTATGCAGCAGGGAAAAAGAAAGTCATTGATCCTTGTGTTTGTGGCATGGAAAAAATCTCTAAAGTAAATTAGTCGAGAAATGGCAAGGTGCAGAATAATGCGTTTGATATGCTACTGTTTGTGTTAAAAGTATTTATGTATAAATTTATAGGTACATATATACATATATAAGATAATAGGATTAATAGGCAGAGGATATGAAAGAAATTTGCAATAGTGTTCACCTTTGGGGAGTGGGGAGCAGGACTAGAGTCTGGAAGCTTGTTTGAGAGATATTTAAAATACACATGCGCAAGTGCACAGGATGAAGTTGCAAAGATAGTACAAAGATCCGTTACCCTTTACCCAATTTCTCCCAATGGTTATATCTTAACTACAGCACAATAACAAAAGCAGGAAATTGATATTGACATATTGTGTGTATAGTTCCATGTCATTTTATCACACGTGTAGATTTATATAACCATCACTGCAATCAAAATACAGAACTATCAATATTTATTCTATCACCACAAAGATCTGAAAGGGAGACTTTTTACTGAATTCCTGTATTTGAATTTATCATAGGCCTGTTACTTTATTTTTAACTTATGCATTTATTTTTAAATTTTATGTAGTAAAATTCACTTTTCTGCTTACTATTCTGTAAGTTTTCACAGGTGCATATTCATGTAACCATCATAAAAAAAAAAAAAACAGTGCCGCCATCCCCCAATGTTCCCTTTCATTGTCTCCTTGCAGTCAGCCCTCTCTTCATCCCATCCTCTGGCACCTACCGAGTGGCTCTCCCCTGTAGTTTTCCTTTTCCAGAATGTCGTGGGTTGGGATAATACAATATGTAGCTTTTTGGATCTGGTTTCCCTTAGCATAATGCATTTGAGAGTTATCCGTGTCGTTGTGTTTATTGAGAGTTCATGCCTTTTTATGGCTGGGTAGTATCCCATTATATGGATGTATCACAGTTTATCTATTTACCAGTTAAAGAATACTTGAGTTATTTCCAGTTTGGGGCAATTATGAGTAAAGCAGCTATAAATGTTCATGTGCAGGTTTTTGTGTAAGCATACATTTTTCATTTCTCTTGGGCAAATTCACCATAGGTCTGTATTACTTTTTTTCAAATATAAAAGTAACATTAGTTTGGCATATTACCTTTGGTCCCTTTTACTAAATAAAAAAATTCTTGTTTTGTGTGAAATCTCATTTTCCATTGAATGTTTGAGACCCCAAAGCTGTTGATTTAAAAAGCCTCGCAGAGGATAAAGCTGAATACAAATGGTCCCAGTTAAAAGTTATCTTTTTTTTTTTCCCCCATAATGAAATCTAATCACCCAGAGTGGAAATAGCCCCTTTCTGGTTTGGTACTAGACAGTCCTTACTAGGCTGCTGGGTACATTCCTACACAGGCTTCCTTTTCACTCTACAGGGAATGTGAAACAAACTTGCCATTGCCTTAAAATACACTAGATCCTGTCCACAACAAGCTGCCTCTGGCATGGGCTGTTAAAGAGATAGATGGATTATTTAATTTGAAGTGGGAACATTGAGGCATTTATTGGTTGTATAGGGGAGAGGGAGAGGTGGGGTCAGGCATGTGATTCTTTCCCATAAGTGTTGGGGGAAAAAAGCTCTCACTTTTCTCTTGATACTTAGATCTCTCTCCTCTCTCAACCTAAAGCTTCTCAGCATAAGGACACATTATCCTAAGGGTTCTCCCACCTCTTTTAGGCCACAGGACTTTATCATCATTATAATAACACCTGACAGCTTTATCAAGCTTGAGTGTTACAAAGGAATTTCATATTTATTATTTCATTCACACAATAGCCCTGTGAAGTAGATATAATTATGCCCATTTTACAGATTAGATTAAATGATTGGTAAAATGTTGTTGGATACGAGGTTGGTGCTACCTCACCACACAATGCTAACCACTATCAAAATAAAACCATTAAAAAATATTAGATCAGGAATTTAAAGCCCAAATTTCTAAGTATAAAGAATTATATGCTCATTGAAGATAAACTTTTAATGTAGAATAGCATAGGGAAAATGAGACTATAACCCCACCAACCTGAAATAAACACTGTTAATATTATGGCACACTTTTTAATTTTCTACATAGATAACAGAAATATCAATACACCTATATTTGGATATTTTATATTTATTTTTCATACATGTTACATGTACAGTTCTATTCTGCTTTTGTCACTTAATGTATCAAGAGCATTTTCCTTAATGTAATGAAGATGCTTTCATAAAGATAGTTTTTAATGAATGATACCATTATATATATATATGTACAATATTGAGAGAGAGAGAACTGTGAGAATGATTCTATTTCTAGTTGTGCCAGTTCTTTTATCAGCACGTGTTAGGTTTTGGAAAGTCAATCTACTTATGACCCTGGGCTCATCTGCTTGTCTATGACATGAAAGACAGTTTTAAGGTCTCTGCCCTTTCATGAGTCAGTGGGTATGGGCTAAGGTACACTGGGTGAAGATGATTTAGAGAGACTGAGTACTTTTTCCTTTACTGAACAGGAAGTTCTGGAAAAGTACTCGGTTTCCAGTACTCTGCTACAGCTGAAAGGATTCCTGAGACAGGTTCAGGCAGCAAGGAAGGGCTGCCAAAAGAGCTCCCAGAATCCAAATGTTGACTGTCTTCCTAGCTTACAAAATGAGCAACTTCTCATTTCCCAGACAGATGAGGACATGAGATACTTGCCTCTAATCTCATGACTATGCTCTTTCAGAATGTATATGTTAAAATGTTTTTCTCATTACTTGTTCATTGATTAAACAAATATTTGTTAGTCAACAAAATACCAGGCTCTGTGCTAGATATTGGGCATAAACAGATACATTCCTTGACTTCATGGAGCCTAGATTCTACTGAGGATGACGGAGATGAACTAGAAATTGCTACCTACCTAATTAATTAATTACTCTTGTGAAGGAGATGTTCAAAGTGCAATGCATCTAAAGAGGAAGGTTTGGGAGGATTATAGCACAAAATGAAGTTTAATGAATATAGAAGAATTATATACATTAGGAAGAACATGATAAATGTCACACTTTGTACTTTCTACTCTTTTTACACTAGTTTTAAAACAATGACAATGTATTAATAATATTCCTAATAACATAATACGTAAACATTTGACTGCTTATTATGTGCCAAATACATTATCTCCTTTAATCCTCACAACAGATGAGAAAACTGAGTCTCTAACTGGGTAGTTTTGTGAAAGTCACACCATTAATGGACAATGGACCCTGATTGGATAGACGGTCTGAATCCAGAGCCTACAATTCAAAAAGTTAGAAAAATATGGATATCAGGTAACCCTTATATAAGATTTGCTATCATCAGGCATAAATTAACTCATTATAATTCTCATAAGCACCTTTGGAAGTAGGTGTTATTATTATCATTTCCATTTGAATTGAGGAAACTAAGATACAGGGAGATTAAGTACCGTGGTGGCCAAGATAATACAACCAGTGGCAGAAACACTGCACTACACTGCACTACAGCTGTCTGTCATGCTTTTTCCCATTTATGTGCATGGTTCTACATAGTTGCGCTTCTAACATTTTTAAAGTTGTAGCATTTTGTTTCCTTTCACTCCTCATACAGTAGTGTAATTATTTTCCTTTATTAAAACTATAAACATTTTTCCCTCTCCTTCCCTTGTATTGTTACTGTTTTTTTGTTGGTTTTACCACAGGCACAGAGGATTGAGCTAATTATCTTCCTCAATTCTGGGCTATGAAAAGCCTTCATCCCTATCCTAATCCCTAATCCCATCCTCTCTCCGTTCAGGCAGCCACTCCAATATTTTTATATGTTCTTTTATATCTAAGTATCCTTGTAAAATAAACAGGATTGGTATGTGTGTGCTTTTCTTTTGTTGAGATATGATTCACACCCTTAAATTTCACCCTTTGAACTATGTAATCAGTGGTTTTTATTGCATTAAAAATTTGTGTAGCCATCATTACTATCTACTTCCACAATATGTTTATCAACCCCAAAAGAAAGCTTGTTTCATTCCCTGCCCCAGCCTTTAGCAACCACTGATATACTTCCTGTCTATGTATGTGCTTTTAACTTTCATAAAATGTGCTATAGAACTTGTTCTGTTTCACATTAGAACTTGCTCTAATGAACTTGTACATTTTCACTCAACATTATGTTTATAAAAATCTGTCTATGTTACTGAATGTATGCTTAGGTTGATGTTTCTATTATAAAGGCTGGATGGTTTTCCACAGTGAAAAGTTATTTTCACTTATTCCCTTAGAGCTGGACACTTAGATTGCCATCAACTTCTCGCTATCCCAAAACCACAGTGAAATTCTTTACCATTCCCCACTGGACCTATGGAGGATTCCTCTGGGATGTGCCCACTGTG